CTTCCTATCTTTTGCATTTTGATGTTATGCACCAGGGGGGCCAATATGACGATTCCAGGGGGTGGAAACCCAGACAATCTCTCCTGGGACAGAGAAATGCTCTAAAGCTGCTCCTTCTCCACATTCCAAACGCGTGCGTTTGTTCAAAGCAATCAGGTGTTTCACCATGCTAACAGCACGGTGACAAGGAAGCATCAAAAGAAAAGCCAGTCAGAAGGATGTACCAACAGAGGCCTTTCACACTGACGGTTATAAATCCACATTTATGCAATACTGTTTAAAATTACCATTATTTAACTTCTTACAGCTCTAGAAGAATATGGTGGAGCTGCCGTACAGTGCGTATGCATCCGAGCGTGGAGCGTTCGCCTGTCTCTGGGTGGTTGTTTAGGGATTAAAATGTCTCTATGCAGATTTAGGAGCTTTTGAAACCTTTCTGAGCTGACAGCAGGAACAAGGGCCAGAAGAGGGCACCACAGTTGTCAGTGCCGGAGGGCTCTGCTGCTCCGGCTTGGACCTGGGAATGCTACTGGGTCCGTAAGCATCGCCGCTGAGGGGATGTTCACGGTGACCTCAACCCCACAAATAAAAGCCAGATGAAGTCTTGCTACGCCGCGACATTGCACCGCCGACTGGGTAATGCCTGTGACCTCTACGCTCGTCTGGAAGTTACTACTAAGTGCAGACCTCTAGTACCTCTTGGTCTAACCACCAAGCCCAGATTGCTGCTCCCCACAGGGCAAGGTCTTAGAATCCCAGGGGTTCAGGAAAATGTTCTCTCCTAGCTTTGTAAAGTCTTTCCTGGATTTCTGTGCCTGGATGAGTATGTGTGATCCTTCACTCCAATTCCTGTGCAACTGAAGGGTTACATGTACGTGCGTTTACAGAAACAGATGAACGCAACACGCGTGCATAGTGTCTGCAGTACAGTGCTGCGAATGTTAGGAATATCTTCCTGGTTTTCTCGGTGTACCTCGCTTCTGCTGCATGTCCTGTGACCCCCCTGAGAAGGATTCCTGTTGAGCTGGAGTCATAGTACTCTGGTGCAAGGCAGAATCGGAATTTGTCCTGAAACGAAGGCAAAAAAGTGATTTTTATTGCCAGTTTCTCTAAATAAAAGAATGTTTAAGCTCAGATAAATGTAACCGACTCAGGCAAACCTGAACACTCTGCATTAAAACCCCAAATCCATCTATGGCGTATAACAGTTTCCCTGTGAAACAACCAATTCGCAGAACAAGGCTGAAGAGCAATTGTTCCAATAATGGGATGGAGAGGAAAACAGGATAGATCAGTTGCCGCAGGTAGAAAGTAAGTTGGTACGCTTTGTTAGGATTAGGCACGATGAAATAATGCCATTTTGGAGGTGAAAGCTGCTCGTACACACTTTGGTTCTACAAGTCTGGAAGAAAACATCCCTGTGTCACGGGGAGGGAAGGTGACTGGTTCAGGATGCAAGTATGCGGCGGAGAGGGAAGCACCAGGGTGACAAACTGTCCTCTGTGCGAGCGCAGGCCACCGTCAGTGACAGGAGCAGGAGGGGTAGAACGGGCAACCCAGTGCTCCCTTCCACGCGAACGCTCGCCAGGGCAGGCTAGCGCAGCTTCCGCGCAGCAAGAAATGCCCGCGTCCTTTACAACTCGGCAGTTTTGGGGTACGCCTTGGAAAACCTGGCAAGGTTTACCCTTAAAAAGAGCTTGAAAAAGTTTAAAAGCGAGTCATCTGAAAGAATAAGCATAATGGACGAAAAAAAAGTGAGTTTCTAAGTTCAGGAAGTGGCAATTAATAGTATCCCCGGATCTTGTAGATGACCACCTGCTGTGGGGAGCAATATGGGTCTCTGTTGCACATGCAAGCGCTGCAGTACCAGAGAATGCAGCCCAGACACACACAGAGCTGTGGTACAAACCTTCTCCAGCTTGTGTCTGACGGAGGTGAGAGGTACACAGTGCCATACGGACAGCTGTCCACGTGATTCCAGCAGTTAAGGGGAAGAACACCACTCTGTCACTCAAGCAGGAGGCCTATTGGAAATCTTTTCCTAAGGAATAATTCAAATCCCCCCTGTCAGAACCACTAAGCTCACAGGAGAAAGGCAAGCGGACTCCCTGTGGGGAACATGGCGACTTTACAAGGATGTTCACAACAAAATAGTACCTGGATTGTTGTCACGTTTGAGCAACAGGACAACCGTCCTCCTCTCTCCTTCCTGAGCATCCGGTTCTTCCCTGAGAAGCCATCACCTCTCCACTCTGCCACTCACCCAGCCCCTTTAGCCCCATCCAGCCAGTCCGATTGCGGCACGTTTTAAGCCAGCCAGAAACAATCAGCTAATTCATTTTCACAAGTGGCAAGGAGAAATAGCGCTTGGCAAATGTTACACTGATGAACCAACTTGTAATAAAACACACAGCGAGCTGCAAAGGATTTGGATTTACTCAGTTCTGAAGGGAAACTCCCTTTCGCCAAGGCTGCCTTGCCTTTCCCAGCGCAGGATCTCATGCCCTCTCAGCTTTGTGCGTATCGTTATCCCCGCTGAGGGAACAGAGAAAGGGAAATCCTTACTTTACAGAAGAACAGGCATTTATAGGCTAGATCACGGCTCAGGAAAAGCGGATGACATTAACGGCGGGGAGATGGGAGGCGATGGGTGAGGAGGGGAGGAAGAAGGGAACTGTAAGAACTGAAGCTGTGATGTTGCTGGAAGGGCAGGTGTTCGCTGCCAGCTCATAAACCAAAGGATATTTGTCTTCCATGTTTATCCACAGAGAGAGGGCGTCGATGCGGGGAGCCGAGGCGGTTTCTGTCGCGATACACTCTGTCCACCAGACCGTGATGCCGAGTTGTTCTGCTTGTGTCCAATCCCGATGACTGAAAAGGAGTCTGAGAGAGACACATCAAGTTACCAGCAGGAAGGTACACGCGCCAGCAGTCTGCCCAGAACTTACTCCTACTGTATGCAAGGCTGCGTTATTTTAAGGAACAAAACTCAAAACCACACGTATGGACAAGCGTAACCGTGTAAATTTTTCCTCCAATGTTTTCAGTGTAGCAATGGAAAGCAATTCCCAAGGCTATCTCTTCCAGAGATCGGAGACAAGCAGAGGCAGACCGTGCTAGGCCTGCCCTCTCGCAGGTCAGCACCGCTCTCCAACCTTCGTGTATCCCAAAGGCCACGCACGCGGGAGGCAGGGAGCCTACGGACACTGCTGTTCACATTCCCTCGGTGCCGCATGCAGCATGCATCCAGAAGGAACATGCTGACAACCAGAGCTTCAACTACAAGGGCAGGAGATGCGGGAAGAAGATGCACAGTGAGCCTAACATTCACCGGAACACGCCACCCTCTCTCAGAACTTCCTTTCACCCCCCTTTTTCAGCGTAATTATTTTAAGGGGACACTGATGAAAAAAAAAGAAAAGCCGTTTCCTTCCTCCTCTGTCTAGAAAAAGTGGCAGCATCCAACGTTTAAGTGATTTCCTTTTCATTCGGGTTGGGCAGTGAACTTCGGCGAGTTCGTTCCGCTTCTAACCTGATGGGCACCGATCTCTTCAGGGCATCTACTTGTCAGCAACGGATCTCGGAGAACGAGGATGGCAGAGAAAAGACAGGGAAGAGAAATTCCCAGGCTAAACAGGCAAATTTCTTGTACGTTTTCAAAAGCCCTTCTCAGTCTGTATTACCTGGGGGGCGAGGGGAGGAAGAACCCAACGGTCAACCCCTCCTCGTACTTCCACAGCAATGTATGGGTCTCTGGGGAAAAAGAAGCTGCAGAGCCTTCCGCTCCTTGCCAATGTGAACAGCTTTGCTGAGTCCCTCAACACCATCTGTTTGGAAATCCAAAATCTCCTCCTCCATTCAGGTGCTGCACGTGGCACATGCACTGTCCTGCCTGCCAAGCCACGAAACCATCTGCCTTCCGCGTTCATCTGTGGGGTTTTTGCTTGTCCAGCTTGGCCTGTTTAAACGATTATTTCTAACAAGTTGTACATTTATTTGTAAACGGATCGTTTGGAATAACTTTTTTAAGAGTCCTTCTACTATTTTAAACTCTTTTCTGTTTAGCAAACGTTAGTCTCCTCGCCCCCTCCGCACACACAACCTGTGTTAATATAAATGGATGCAGGGTGGCTGCGGTGTTTATTTTCTTGCTCCAGGGCCAACACTTTATAGGCAGCAGAATATTCCTTAAGTCAACACGGGACTAGGAAGAGAGCACAGTCATTTTTTACTGCACTCCCAGCCGTTAAGATCACGGTGTTTTGCTTCAGGTCCTTCGCACTACGACTTTCTCGCACGAAGACACCTCAAGTCAGAGCAGCTCAGTTTTAAGTAATTTAAATTAAAACATGTTGGTTTAATACCTGCTGCAAACCCTAAACCACAGTCGAGCTGGACCTAACCGGCACCACGCGAAACTGGGCACATTCGTAATTCCCAAACCAACACAAAAGGTCTCAAACTCTTCCTTGGGCTGTCGTACCAGTTCTACCCCAAAAAGGCAGCAACATCTGCAAATCATGCGTGCTCGGAAGGTCAACAGGAAAAGCAGTTTCCTACGCCAGCGGTCTCAACCACAGCGTTACTAAAAAAAGGAGAGGCCAGGCTGAAGCACACAGGGTGCAGACCTCACCTGGAATTTCGAGTGAAGCCAGCGCTTATGGGTACACAGACAAAAAATTGGACGCAAAAATAGCTATTTCTTCAGTTTTCCCCTTTTTTTGGCAAAACTTCCACGTAAAACCACAACAAAAACCTAATTTGAGTGCCACACAGGCACAAGTAAACGCGGGCCTTGCCCCGGCACAAGGCTCCAGTTCGCAGAGCGAGGAATTCCTGGGGCAATGCTGTTCTCCGGCTTGTCGGGAAGAAAGACGTCAAGCAAATCCCTAACTTACTCGGGGAAATCAGAAGAGAATACACACACTTGAGAAAAGGGGCATCACCTCCAACAGGTCTGGCTTCTCCCAGCAACCACCCCGGAGCAAAGAGCAGGCTGCGCCCTCGTTAAGATCCCCAGCCCCGCAGGGCACGTGACAATTAACTCCCGTAAACAACTGCGGTTCAAAAAATAAAGAACAGATCCCAGCATCAATTTTATTTGGAAAATGAAGAACTAGAACTGCTTTGCTTCCCTGAGGATTTGAGATCAGAACCGAGACATTAAAAAAATATAGAATAGCAACTAAATACAGACAGGAAGGAAAAAGCTCCGTGCTCTAAAGCAACAGTGTCCCGTTAAGATTTCTCAAGACGTTGATTTAGGAAACCAAACGAGCAAGGTGGATGAGGGGGAGAGAGAGGAGTGGTACCTACTGCCAGTTTACATTTCGGCGCCTCCTGGTGCCAAGCAGCGTGTGGGTCATCATTCTGCCTTTCCCCAGGGGGTTTAACATGCAGGCTAAGCGCACATGCTCGGAGATGGCTTAAATCACAGGCCAAGCCAGTGTCTGCACCAAATTAATCCCCCGTAAATCATAAGTAATCACATGACAGACCACAGCAAGTCCACAGAGTCTGTACAGGAATTATTATGCATGTTCCAAACTGGGATGCATGGCAAAACCTGTATTTATGTGACAGACCGTAACTCCTCCGGAGCTGGGACGGTGAATCGGGTACTGTGCATACCAGAAAAAGTGTAATGTGTGCGAAAATACGTATCTACCTGGGCAAACAGCACACCAGTCCTAAATACGTATTTGCACAAACCTAAATACTTGTTTACCAAAGAGACAGGAACTGCTCCAAAGGCTTCTGCCAGAGCTCCGTTGTGCTGTAAATGCAAAGAACCAAGATGCTCAGACACTAACGCTCCCGCCACGGACAACCAGCCAGGCTGCACCCGAGCGGCACATCGCATTGGCAATTTCATCGTACGTTAGCTTAGAACTGAAAAACCTGGAAAGCATTCACCACTGATACAAATATTTGGCTTTATTTTGTTGCTTGTCACTGTTGGTTACCTGTAACGGTATCAACTTTGGATTTTTCTGCATGTGAGAAAACAAGATTATATAAAAACCTGGAGTTTAAGGACAATTTGCTTCCGTCTCGTCCTCTAGTCATTCATAAATTTCTGAATACTCACTTCCCAGCGCTCTGTTAGTTTCAGGAAGAAAACAGTGCATGTAACAACCACCAGAAATGGCCATCAATCTCACAAACGCTGAAATGCTATTGCTTAAAAGGAACATTTAACTATGAACCTCCTTAACAAGAAACTAAAGACAAAATCCAGGCGCTCGTGGAGCGACACTGAGGATGTTGTAACATTACAAACCTCTGCACTGCGTTCCCTAAAGGCAAACGGATTAAAATAGACATTTACTTCTCCTCTTGCACAAAATTCAAGCTTTTAACCTCCACAAATTCAGCTGTCTACATGCATTTGCTTCAAAATGCATCGTTGGAGGACGTCATCAATAGTTTCTCTGTATTTATTAAGCCAGCCTTCATCAGAAAACCACAAACTGCAAAATTTAATTCTTACCACATCCTTGGGAGACAAAATATAAATGTTACTACTCAAAAAAGGAAAATTAATGCAGGAAATGTAATTATTTTGAGCACCCTAAATCAACTAACTATAGAAATTGGGAGTCCCAAAAGTACCCAGCACCGAATCCTACCCGCTGCACATCTTCTGTCCAAACATGCTTACCAGCAGCAAAACATTCACACAAACCCCTGGGTTTCTGTTTATATATTACCTCTGGAGTCACAAAGGCAGGGAAAAAAGGCTCTAGTACACCCCTACATTTAATCTCCAGCCAGCCCGAAGAAAAGTGACTATTCCAATGCTGGTTTGTGTCCTGTTCCCCCTTCTCCTCTCCCAAAACCCGTAATTACTCCCAGGGAACATACACAGTGCCACAGGGTGCCTCTCCCACACCCCCATCTCCCCGCGCTTCCCACATCCCCTCGCATTATGCGCCTCCACTTTTGCCTTCACTCTGCGGTATCTTTGCAGAAGACTTTGTTATGGATTTGGTACTGAACAACAACAAAAACCCCACCACCCTGAATATTCGCTGGCAAAGGAACTGCATCGCCTCTGCCTCTTCTTCACACAAAAACACCGCAACTAGGGGCAGGAGCACCAGTACCTAATGCTCGATATACACAACACAAGAACACCCACACATGCCATACACAACCATACTCTGTTCCAAAAGGGCACCGATTTAACGCAGGGTGATCTGCTGAGGCCACGGAGCTCTGTTCTGAAACAGCAGCTAGCTCGTGGTCTCCTGTGCGGAACAAAGAGCACCCAGGCACAGCATTCACCAACAAAAAGAAAGGAATACCCTACCAAACTCACCTGGAAGGGCAGGTCCATGGCGCTGTTCCCGATCTGATTCACATTTGGCAGTGACCCACCGTAGTACTGGCCACGACTTTGTCCCAGTTGTAAATATTGGGTTTTCTGCAGCTGTAACTAAAAGAAAAGGAGGAAGAAAGCGTAAGGGCAACTCATTCATTTTCACTAACTCGACTCGACACCACGGCCGTAAGCACCGAGAATGGGTACCGTCTATAAACAGCACGAATTCCGCTTCTGCGAGCGGATGTCAACCTTCCCCGCGAAGCCAACTGCCACGCTGGGTCTCATGTGATAGTGTCAATCCACGGAAGAAAAATCAACCTCACAGGCAGCAATCATACTCCATTTCCAACAAACAACCACCACGTCGAGCCACGTGATTCTCATGTCACTTGCTCCTCTGAAATCTGGGACGTGAAAGCCCGGTGTCAGTTGATCATGACTCTGAATATCAAAATTAGCCAGCTGTTCATGCGTGTGATACGCACGTAAGAAAGCCATCTTAATTCAGTGTACTGAGTGCACTGTTTAACCCAGCATTCGACCTTGCAGCTAGGTAGGCGCAGAGACGATGGAGCTTTCCACCAGCAGATGAGTGGGTTTGTGTCTTGCACCAGGAACAGCTCTGTAGGAAGGGCACAGGTTTTCAAAGAAAAGCCAACCAAAGAAAGAAATTATAAGGGCAAAGAATCCCTTCCGGAGCAGGTATACGTGAAAATAATCGTGTCAGTCTGCAAAGTTTCAATAAATGCTGGGTACCAGTCTGCGGTCCCCAGTGACACCTCTCTGCTACAACACCCCAGTACGCTTTCTTGTGGTTGTATCCAATCCTGGTGTAAAAAAGTGAAAGCTGCTTCTTTTCTACTCCCCCACCAACTTTTTTTCACTGTCACTCCTTTCAGCAGACTGAACCATCTCACGAGCTTGTTAATAACAGCCACAAATTTTGATTAATCCTTCGTTAGTGACCTTTCTCAATTTTTAGCTGAGTAGTACCAATGTCATTAATAACTCCTCATTCAATTCTGTAGTGTTCCCACTCCACACATCCAGGTTGAATACCAGCCCGCCACCAAAGCCCTGTTTTCCACCGATAAAGCAGAATTTGGTACCATGGGAACACAACCACCCTGCTCCCAGGGCTGCATCTTCCAAGGACTCAAGCAACTACAATTCAAGCAGCAAAGAAATGAGCTTACATAAGTTCCCTCTCCTCCCACTGTGGAGGAGTACATGTTTTATAATGTATGTTGTTCCTCGCTAGATGTCAACGGGCTGGTTTTGCTCTCTGAAATGCAAGAACATTCCTAGATCGGCAGCAAAGAATTGTTTAAAGACGAAACGCTCAGCTCTTGGACTCGATGCGGGTCGGTTGCTAAGGTACGGCAGTGTGTACGTCCACACGTCTGCTTTGGTTTCATTCAAACGGATCGGGGAGCCTTCGCCCTGCGAAGAGCGAAGTTGGGAAGAGCACTAGAAAACGTGGCAGCCCCCAAACGGGTTTTGTTGCTTTACACTTTCATAGAATCACGGAATGGTTTGGGTTGGAATGGACCTTAAAGACCATCCAGTTCCAACCCCCTGCCATGGGCAAGGACACCTTCCACTAGACCAGGTTGCTCCAAGCCTCATCCAGCCTGGCCTTGGACACTTCCGGGGATGGGGCATCCCCAGCTTCTCTGGGCAACCTGTCCCAGTGCTCCCACCCTCTGCGGGAAGTATTCCTTCCTGATACCCAACCTAAACCTCCCCGCTTTCAATTTAACCCCGTTCCCCCTTGTCCTGTCACTACAGGCCCTTGGGAAAAGCCCCCCCAGCTTCCTTGTAGCCCCCCAGGCACTGGAAGGTGCTATAAGGTCTCCCCAGAGCTTCCCTTCTCCAGGCTGAACCCCCCAACTCTCCCAGGCTGTCCCCATGGCAGAGGGGCTCCAGCCCTCGGAGCATCTTCGTGGCCTCCTCTGGCCTCCCTCCAACCGGTCTATATCCTTCTATATCCTTTCTTCAAGCAACGGAAATGGAGGGATGGAAACGAGCGGCCCTGCCCCTACAGCTTTACCACAGAGGCCCTGGAGGTGTTTCTAGCAAAGGGAAGGAAGAGCTAGCACTCGGTGAGGATGCGATGCCTAGATCCGAGGGAGCCCCCCGACAGGACGGCAGTAACGGCGGCAGGGATGCCGGGCGGCGTTGGCGGTGAGGATGCGGCACTGCACGCTGACAGCACCGAGAGGGCAGAGAGGAAAGGGACCGGTGTGTTTACAGCATGCTGATGCTTGGGGGGATACATATTACAAGAGACCCTGGATAGAGGACGGGGGGATGAGATCGCCCCGCGGAAAATGGTGCACGCGTTCTTAAAACTATTCCTTGGAAAGCAACTCAAACACCCTTTATCCACAGAATCTCCCCTGGAAGCCAATTCCCAGATACACAGAGCCAAAAGTCTTTACACTTTTCGCTGAGAGACCAAATTAATCCCCAACTTTGGAGATGAAACTTCTCTACGGAATCTCCCAAAGCCACGACCCTTCGGACAAGACGCCAGTCACCACGTGGCTGGTGGCTTTTCTTCCAGACAAACGGGGTGATAAACCCCCTCAGCCCAAACACTTCCGAAGCGTTCACGGCATGCCGTACCGAAAGGTCCAAAACGCTCCTGTCCAAAAGGCAGGAAAGGGGTGCCCCTCCCCGCCCCCTGGACTTCAGTTTGCCACGCAATTACAGGCCGGCGCTCTCGAAGCAAGACATGAAATCAGAGACGGGCTCTGCGCTGGTGTCGCTTAATGAGTCACAGCCCCTCTCGCTCGTGGCTGCCGATCGCTAAAAGCACAATATCAGAACGAGCTGTGCTTTTCGCCTGGCCCCTTACATATGTTTGTGCTGTTAAAAAAAGGCTCGCTTGGGATTTGTGCCAAATATTGAAGTAACTGTTTCAACAGGTGTCGGTTTCTTTTAAAAAACCTACGAGAAGACGCCCGGGGAGGGGGTTGCTTCACGGTTTTGGGGATGTTTTCGTGGTACATACCTGCCTCAGAGCGTAACGTAACAGGGAGGTCAGGACCGTGTGTCTTCCCACTGCAGTTAAACGTGGAAGTGAGGAAACACGAGAGATGGAGAACTAGCGGGTCTCCGAAACGAGCTCGTTAACTGGCTTTGCAGTATCATTAATTTTAGTGACGCCACCTTCCATAAACACTTTTGGGGAGCCGTGCCAAAAGGAAGAAAACTGGTCGCTGGTGACCGCGATTGTCTATCATCGCACCCGCGCGCGAGTCTGGTTTCGTTCCTCCCTTCTAACAGCGAGCGGCCCCCCGACTACAGGGTTTATGGAGACCATCACCAACTGCCACTTGCAATCCAGGCCCATCAAGCGGAAGCAGAGCAGGCGGCTCTGCCGGGCTCCCGCGCTGGTAAGAAAGCTTTCGCAAAGCCCGCCGCGCGAGCCCGCCCCGTCGCACCAGCCAGCGTCAGCTCTACTCTTCCCAAGCAGGGGGTGGGCGCGAAGACCTGCGAATCTCCCACTGGTGATTCCAGAGCCTCGAGCCCTGTTGAGCGCTGGAACCCAGAGCACACCCCGGCTGTCGCCAAAAGGAATGTGTCCTCCTCCTTCTGCGACACTCCCTGCTGAGGGGAACTCAGGGGAGTGCGCAATTTGGGGCGTGGGGATTCAGGTTTGAAGAGGGGGACTGTGTGGGGTATTTTAAAAAGGAAAGAGGAAAAAGAAAAAAGCCTTTTCTTAATCGAAAAATTCAGATTACTCTTCAAATGTTAACGAGCCTCATGACAACGCCAGCCTTACCTCCTGGGGTTAGATTCAATTAGTGGCAACTCGCTTTCTATATGGACTTAGATACTGAACGACGATAACGAACTACTTGGTGTTCACCAGATGTATTCATGTCTCGAGCCACGAGAACTCGGTGACTCCACACTACAGCTCTTCCATCTCTGCATTACGCAGCCAGGATGACGGCCGCTCCTCGACGGTTAAAAATATTGCTAAATATTCCAGTTCTTTGCTGAGAAAGCTTTCGCTTGTTAAACCATTTTATTCCTGCCTGGCATTCTTGTTCAGAAGAAATGTTTCCCAAACGACAGATCCGAACTGAATCCCTCATTTTCACCAGCATTTCTCTTATGCAACTTGCAGAAAGAAAAAACAAAAGATTGTAAGTGAGAATCCAATTTAATCGTTAAAAATCCAATACTTCTGCATAAGGAGTTTTCCAGAATAGCTGGAAGCGCCTCCCAAAGAAAAGGCTGACACAGTGTTGGCTCAACACATCTGAGGTAATGTTGGAACCAATGAATTCCTGCAGGGGTGCAACAGGAAACCCAGGAGGCAGCAGCGGCACCTCGGGATAGGCACCATTACCTTTCCATGCAGTGATGAGGAATTAGCCAAGAACCTAATTGCTTGCAAACAGCGGAGTAACGTTACACGATCTTACTCTGGTTAGTGGAGCCGGACACACACAACTTTGGGAAGAAATCAAGGCTATTCCATTTACACCATGCCTGACTTGCTAACAATGGAATATTCTTCCAGATACTAGCTTTGCTGTGAACCCAGTTATACAAACTACCTCATTTTTTCCATTTAAACCCAGTTAAAGCTTGTTGGATACACAGCTGTGTTTGCCGGGAGAGATTCAAGTTATACAATAAAAAAAAAAAACAGCGAAGAAAAGGAGAGAAACATATCCCTAAAAGCATATCCAGTTTTCCTACAGACTTTCTAAGTGTCCAAAATATGCAGATGGGAACCAAAGGAAGCATTTATTAAAATTAAAAACTTCAACATCTCTAAATTCCCCAGAAAACCGCTGGGCAAATTACAAACTGCTGGACAGAACTGAGGTGTAATCCAACGGCAAATCCGACGCTGGAGTCAAGTCAACCAAAACCCACTGCAACCACTTCTTTACAAATGCTCTTTCAATGCATAAAGATTTGATTCCCCTAAGCATAATAAAAGGGTGGAGTGTCCTTCAGATAAAAATCCCCTGAGATATCTGATGAATACAGGAAGTAAGATTTCACGATACCGGCCCTTTTGCCGGTTTGCAGTTTCCATACCCAGCTCTCTTTCAGCTTCACTTCAGAAAGCT